TAAAATATCAAAGTATCGGGACACCTGGGTGGCTCAGATGGTTGAGTATCTGCCTTCGGCTCAGGTCATGATCTCCTAGGATCGAGCCCCATGTCGGGCTCCCTGCTCAGTGGGGGAGTCTGCTTCTCCCTCTCCCTCTGCCCCCACGCCGCTTGTGCTCTCTCTGCCTCTATTTCTCTCTCTTTCTCTCACTCTCGCTCTAAAAAAAAAATCAAAGTATCAAAATATCAACTTTTTAAATATTTCCCTTAACGATTGCTTAGGCATTTATCTGCCAGCGTTAGGAATCGTGTGCAATAGATATATAAATAAGACAAAATTTCTTTTCTCCCCAACTTACAGACCAGTGAGGGAAACAGATCCATACAGAGCTAGAATGCTGTGCTACAGGGAAAGAGTGGTCAGAGCAGGAGAGAGCTGGGTGCGTGGAGGACCACAGTCCCACAGGCTGCTATTGAAGGGCATGTGGGGACCAGCGAGGGGGGCTCGGACTGTCAGCCGGGCGCCAGGTGCTGGGAGGACCGTGGCGGGGCGGAGGAGGTAGGCAGGCAAGGCAGCCTGTCTCTTAGCCTCAAGAGTTGTGTGCTGGAGATGTGAGTGAGAGGCCCGCCTCCGTCCCAGTGGTGTACCCACTGAGACGTGACCGTTGCACAGTGGTGAGAATGCAGAGTGGCTCAGTGGCTGCGAGATGCTGAGGGGAGGGACGGGCAGCAGTGCCGAGCTGGGGAGGACGAGCGGAGACCCTGCAGGGCCCTGCATGCCCACACAAGAAGACAGCTTCATCTCAAAAGCAGAGGGTGCTTCTCAGGAGTCTATGCGTGATCAGACTCTTTGGGAAGCTATAATGTAAGCAAGCTATGACAGTGACCTAATTCAGACTCCCAGCAAATGGATGGAGAAGCGGAGGAGGACTTGGCCTTGAGGAGGAAGCCGTGACACTCACCGGCCCCTGCGGAGGGCTCTTGCTGGGCACCATCCTCTGTTCTGCATGGCTTAACACCATTAACCATCTGATTAGCCCACTTTACATACCGGGAAACTGAGGCACGGCGGTGCTTAAGTAACTGGCCAAGGTCGTGAGCTAGTAAGTAGCAAAATCAGCATTGGACCCCACGCAGCCTGGCTCCCAGGTCCGTGCTCTTGACCAGCACTTGCTGTCATGGCTCGGGGCAGAACCCACAGGCCAGTGAGCCTGGCCGTCCTCCCGTCCCCATCACAGTACCATGTTGTTGCCAGCCCACGAGCTCTGTCTGGGGTCGGAAATTCTGACACTTTTCTACCTCTCCTGAGGGGAGGGGCTCAGTGGTGGGTGGGCCATACTCTTGACGTAACTCTGCCAGAACCATCTAGTGTATTCTCCACTTCCTGCTTGGGACTTCTCCCCATGGCGGTTTATGAAACAGAACAGAAATGGACCCCGTGGCAGCCTGTCAGTCTGGACTCCTCCCAGGAGTCGTAGGATGCTGCAGCCCTCCGGAAAACAGAGTCTGTAAATGTCAAACCCAACCACCCCCAGTCCTTTCTTCTTCCGTAGGTGTCGTGCCAGAAAAATCCTTAATAGCCGTGTGAGGCATATCCCTGTGCTTCTCCTTTGTGCTTTGAGGTTCCAGCCTGGCTCTTCGAATTCCCTACTGACCTTGGTGTTTCAGAATTCGTCCTAGCTGTCCTGTAGTAATTAACAAAAATAAATATGTTGATTAAATTAAAGTGAGGATCTTGGAGAGGAATCCGGAAATGAGCTTCCCAAGAGGCCCCACTAAGGCCCAGGCTGATATGCTTCCTGTGGTGTCTGTTTAGATGGGCTCTGATCAGGGCTCTTATCTTTGCTGACTGGTTAAAATATAACTTTGCCGGGCATGTGGTGGCCCTTTAAACTGCCTCTATGGTGTGGGACAGAGACTGATGAATAGAGTTTTATCTGAGTTCAAATGAGCTGAATCTGGCCGCCCCCAAATCCTCTCTGATTTAAACCCCTCTGGCTGATTAGCTGTGCGCCCCCGAAGACGTAAACGGCTCTTTCCCAAGCCTTCCCTGAGGACACATAGTCTCAGGAAACGTCACCATTTATTAACGTTGTCCGGGTCCTTTACAGACCCGGGGGGCGGAGGCGGGGCCCGGGTCAATTTATTAGGTTTATCCGACAACGTGGACTTAACCCCGTGGCACAGAGCCAAGGGGCTGGACGGCTGGGGTTTTTTGTTTATTTGGAGTTTCTTTGACATCTCAAGCAGCCTCTGGGCCAGCAGGCGAGTTTCACGTGGAGGCCCCAGCAGGAAATTAGGACTAGGTCCCACTGGTGGTCTCAGGGACTCAGAGCACTAGGTCTGACCGGCCTCTGGACCCGCTGGGGCGGCTCTCGGCGTGGTCCTGTGGGGCACTGGCACTCTGGCCCCAGAGGAGGCTTCTTGGAAGATGTGTTGGAAACACCCGGCACATCATCAGTGCTCAAAACTGTCAGCCGCTATATCACTCCTTCATTCTTTCATCTGTTCATTTTTTTTTAAAGATTTTATTTATTGATTTGACAGAGAAAGAGAGAGAGAGGGAACACAAGCAGGGGGAGTGGGGAAGGGAGAAGCAGGCTTCCCGCCGAGCAGGGAGCCCGACGCGGGGCTCGATCCCAGGACCCTGGGACCATGACCCGAGCCGAAGGCAGACGCTTAACGACTGAGCCACCCAAGCACCCCTCATCCGTTCATTTTTCAACGAACTTTTGTGAAAAACATGTCCAGTGTACAGACTGTGGGGGCATTTAAAGAGGCAGAATGAAAAGTTTGAGATGGTAGTTAAGCGAAGGTGGAAATTCCCTCTGAAGTCCCCCCCCCACCCTCACCCCCTTGTGCGTCTAAGGAACTCAGAAAACACAAATTTGAAATAAAGCAGAAGGGACAGGGCAAGATGGACTGGTTCCTGTGTGTCCGGCACTGATGTGCGATTATTCCGATACGGCCATGCCACAGTGACTCAGCACCTACCACCGAGGAAGCCTCCGGGAAATATCCGAGGAAGCAGGGTCAGTGACACAGGGTAGAAGGAAAAAGAGAAAACGTGGGTGAGAGAGAGAGAGAGAGAGAGAACAAGTGAGCTAATACAGCCTGGAATGCAGATGTTGCGCCTAACCAGGCAAGAGGCCAAGCCCAATTAACCCTTTTTGAATGGGTAAGAGTACACCATGTTTAATAAATAGAGGCCTTGCTCTTTTATAAGGCACAAGAGGACTGAGCAGCGTCCCAGGAACCACAGGAGAGATGGAAGCTGATGAATGGAGCATACTGTGACGGGGTCGTGGGGAGAGGTGACAGGGAGTAGTAAGTCAGTCCTCTGTTGGGAGTTTTCTCGGCTTCTGCTCCTTCCCTCTCGCTCCCCACATGCCGTTCCTAAATAATAATCCCTAATTTGGAAGTGCCGTGCCAGAGAGAACCTGCTAGTTTTCCTCTTGAATAGGCATGAGCCCCGTTAACCTTATTTTGCTGCATCTGAGGAATCTTAGGAGGGGAACACTTAAATCACACAGCATCTTAAACATTCAGGAACTTTCTAGAAAACACGAGGGAGAAAGGAGACATGGGAGTTAATCATCTTTTTTTCCAAAGAAAGGCCTCAAAAATAGCCCTCAGAGGCTAACTCCTGGTAGCATCTTCCTAAGATCCAACATTCCTACGATGGTTAGCTCTGCTCCAGAAAGAAAAATTTTTAATTTCACTTCACGAATAATTTTCACCTACTGTCTATGCAAAAGGAAGCACAGAATTTGCCAGAAAATTGGGGAATCCATCCTTAGCGGCAGGTTCTCCCTGCAGGTGCCCTCACATGGAGATCCCACTGCAGCTACAAGAAAGCCAGACACTAAAGCCGCGTGGGTGAAGCCCAGTTGTTTGCATTTCATGCGCTTCAGTAAGCATTTCTGTCCCTGTCTTTGCTGGAGAGCTCTTGAGTGTCAGCTGTAAAGGAGGTTGGAAACGTGGTCCACTCCCCTGGCTGGAGAGAGAGAGGCACATTCGTGAGCAAGTGGGAGAGAATGTGGTACAAACAACGTAAGATGTCTGCAGAACTTAACAGCGTCTCCCGCCTGCCAGTCTGGCCCCGCGTAGAGGTTGAGCTGCCAAGCTCATGTCACCAGGTTGGAGCTTGGTAGGGTCCCAGGGAGCTTGGCTGAGCTGGGCAGGCACGGAGCAAGGAAAAGTAGAGGCTGCAAGTGCTCGTGACATTCGGCAAGAAAGCTGTGGGCAAGGACTGGACTTGAGAGGGAATATTTTCGGGAATTCACATGTCAGGCACTGTGCTAGGTGCTTCTCAAATATTCTTTTCTTTCTCTCTCAGTAGTGATGATTCTGATCGCCACAGAGTTAGGGAGGCGACCAAAGGGGGTGGGTGGGAAGTGCCACCTTGTCAAAGCAAATCCAATGTCCATGTGACTTCATTTTTAAAAAATGAGATCAAACTGGAAAGAAAAAAAAAAACAAAACCTCGTCCATCGGTAGCAGATCACGGCAGGTAGTCTGCAAAAGCGTGAGGGGAGTGTGGCTTCACAGCACTGAGAAGCATTTACCTTCCCTGCTTTACCGATCAGCTACGCGCAGGGAAGGTGACCCCAGGCAGGTGGCACGGTTGCCAAGTTCCAGACAAGCTTCCAGCCAGGTCTCAGCTTGCTCTGTCCCTGCCCTCGGATACTTGGTTCATCTGGGTTTAAAACTGGAGTGACTAGATGGAGAAAAGCTAGCAAGTTAGCAGCTCATTATACCTTCATTAATTTGTCTTTTCATCGATTCAGTTGATAGTTACTAGTGTTTACAGGGCGCAAGTGACTGTGTCCATCAGGGGAGGCACACCAGACGGGGGCAAACGCAGTCCCTGAGGTGGAAAGCTCCGAGTCCAGTGTGAACATGACATCAGAGCTTTGTGCGCAGGCGCCTTGCCGTCTCTACTTGAACCCCAGTCTGTGCTCTCCAGGGCAGTCTGCTAAGCAGTGCTTTCCCTCACTGCATGGCCCCATGTTTCAGGGCATGAACTACCTGGAAGACCGGCGCTTGGTGCACCGCGACCTGGCAGCCAGAAATGTCCTGGTGAAGACACCACAGCATGTCAAGATCACAGATTTTGGGCTGGCCAAACTGCTTGGAGCCGAGGAGAAAGAGTACCACGCAGAAGGAGGCAAAGTAAGAGGCTCGCTTGTAGATGGGCGAGCATTTTCTCACCAGCAGACTGACCGATGTAGGGGACGTTCTCAGAACGTTCTGGGTGAGGGCGCAGCGACTACCACTGACACCTGGGTCTAGCCAGGGTCGTCTTCTGGAAGTACAGACCAGAGGAGCTGCTTTGAGAGCAGGATTTGCTGGGAGAGTGAGAACAGATGTTTCTATCGTGTCCAGAGGCCAAAGCCAATAAACACGAGCTCAAGCTCCATCTTCGGGTAACCATTAGCCAAGGTTAGGTCTCAACCTCCCCGCTTCAGAAGGGCAGCTGGGAAATGTCACAGCTATTGAGAATATCTCAGAAATGTGGAAAACTCCCCGTGCCTTTCCTAGAGCACCCGAGGGTCTCTGTGACTCTTGGAGGGTTGGCTCCCTCCTCCCAGACGGACTTGGGGGTCCTCCGGGGGACTCTCTCCCAGCACTGGGGGGGGGTGGGTGCAAGTCCCCTTTTAGGCCCTCCAGTAGCTCTGAATTGGCTGTACCCCTCTTAAGTTTCTCTCTGACCTGGATGGCTCCAAGTAGCCGGCCAAGCAGCCAAACTCCCATAAACATGGGGTGGCTAGGACCACCACCAGGACCCCCAGCCCCCAGCATGTGCACCCAGTTCACCAGAACCGCCCACAGACCAAAGCTCCTCAGCCGAGGCCTTCATGAAACCACACCTGGGGCCGAAAAGAATAGCCCTGTTTTCTACCAGATTTTTAAAACTTGCTCCTCCTGCTGGGAGGGAGCCCTAGTCCTAGGGTATCAGGGTGGGGTGGCCTGGGTTTCCCACGTTTGTCACTTGTAATCTGTTTCAATGTGATTTAATTTTTTGCACCAGAGGGAAGCTAATGGTTATCTTATTACTTCCTCTCTCATCATTCCAAGGTGCCTATCAAGTGGATGGCTTTGGAATCAATTTTACACCGAATTTATACCCACCAAAGTGATGTGTGGAGCTATGGTGAGTCAAAATCGCGATGCTAATGAATGCGTACTGAGCCGAAGCCCGCTTGTATAGTTTGTTGATTTATGTTCTATGCTCTGTCATCCAAATACTTTCTTCTAAGACAGTGCCTAATAATAGCGTAGTAGTTGCTGTCTATCCTACTAAGAAAGGATGGCAAAGGAAATGGAATCTGACTAGCATATTACATGTCACTGGAGATACTGATGAACTTGTCAAGCAGGGGGTGACGGAGGGAAAGAGAGCTCGGACTTAGGAAGTGCCTGGACCTGCGACATCAAACCAAACTTGACCTCTTGCCATGGATTTGAAGTCAACCAAAGGGAGGTGACAAATGGGGTTTTCTGGGTAGAGATGTGAGGTTTTGTGATGGACTAGCTCGGTAGCCATTGTTTCATGCAGTGAATGGTAGTCTTTGTGTATCAGAGAGAATGGCTTGACAGGAGGGCACTAGGAGTGTGTGTCTGGGGAGGGCGGCGCGGGGAAGGAGAAGCAAGGGAAATAGTTATTGCTGGGAGCTCTAGTGAGGACATCTCATCAGGACTGATTCTGTGTTTCCCCCTCCAAATCCCACTGTGGCCCTGCACAGGCCCGTGCCCCTCCTCTCCAACACGCTTTCCCATTCTTGCCTCATTGCCTTTGCGCAAAGGATGGCTTGAGCCTACAAGGGCCTCGCCATTTAAGAAAGTGTCACTAACACATTCTCACAGGCTGCCATGTTTACACCTGTTCACAGTCGGTCCTCACGAGCCCAGCAATCTGCTGGAAGCCTGCAGAATAGCTTACCTGATACATTTCTCTGTGAATTATCAGTCTATTCCCACTGCTAAAGCAACGGGGGTCGGGGGGGGGGGGCCACCCCATCTCCAAGGAAATGGTTATTTGGGGAGAGCAAGATCGACACAAATGTTCAAGAGGAATTTGGTTATTATCACAAAAACAAATCATTCAGGCTATCATCCACTTAAGGCTTTTTTCATAGCATTATTAACTTCCTAATATTTTAAATGTATTTTAGTTTCGGGGATCTCTGTCTCTTCTGCTAGGATGCAGGCTTTACAAAGACAGAGATCTTTCTGAGTGAATAAGTGAATTTTTTCCATGTACCTGTGAGCTGAGCTGCCTGCGATTAATGAACTAGATAAGGAAATAAAGCTATTCTGATGCCTTGTTATTTTAGTTATTTTCAAGATATGTCTCCTCTCCAAGAGGGATGGGAAGAAATGCTCCTTTTCCCACTCCTGAGTCCCATCCAGAGGCATCTCCGTGGTCCTCCTTCCCTCAGGTTCCTGATGGGTCTTCTCTCTCCCTGTTCTGCCCACATTCGTCTGTTCTCCAGACAACAGACAAAAAGAATACTTTTAAACCATAGCAGACTTTTAATTCTCTGCTTAATAGCCTTCTTTGGTTTTCCTTGTATGTTCCAAACAAAACCTGAGCTCCTCACTGGTCTGGCTCTGCCTACTTTTCCAGAATCAAGTGGCTGCATTTCCCTCCTTGCCCTCCGTGTGGCAGCCGGCGCAGGCCAACTCGTCATCTGTCCGGAGTTGGCCCACATCTGTTGAATAAATGAAAACTCTCTTAGATTCTGTGACTTAATGCCTTTGGATGATTACAAGCAGTACCAGAAAGTCAGCATCACCATAGTGGTCGTGTGTTTTTCATTTCAGTGGAAATTGTGTTGTCAGTGATTATAATCCGCCGTTCCTGGCAGTAATTGGAATTGTTAAACCACAAACCTGACATTCTAGTTTAAAAAAAACAAATCCTGTTGCGGCACCTGGGTGGCTCAGTTAGTTAACGTGCCCGACTCTTGATTTCAGCTCAGGTCGTGATCTCAGGGTTGTGAGGTCGAGTCCCGCGTCGGGCTCCGCGATCAGCGCAGGGTCAGCTGAGAGATTCTCTCTCCCTCTGCCCCTCCCCCTGCTCGCTTGTGCATGCTCTCCCTCTCTCTTAAATAAATAAAAATCTTTAAAAAACAAATCCTATTATTCCGCTCTCTAGTTTCAAGACAAAATATCTTAATAAATTAGGAACGTATGCGTTCCACTTAGGAGTTGAAAAGAGAGAATTCATACCACGTTCCAGGCTCTCTCAAAAGCCACAACCAGGTATGCACACCACTTTCTCTTTTAGCATGTGTTCCGAAACCTAAAAAGTTTGCCTTCCCGCAGGAATTCATCGTGCATGTTTATACATAATGTTTAAACCTAGTTAGATGGGAATGAATTGACTTCATGGATCTGGAAATGAGATTTTTATTTTTTCATCAAGTCCATACTGACACTGTGGTGAGGAAGGACAGAAGAATCTATTTTCTTGCCCTTGGACCATGACTTTGCTTCATTTTTCAATCTTGCTTGCTCTGTATTCAGGTCATTTGGTTCTGGGATGGCCCCTGGTTAATCCAAGCAGACCTGTGGGGAATATGTATCTAGTGGTCAACTCTAAAGAAAATGGATCATCAGACCAGCTGAAGATCAGGAAACCGCCAGAATCCTGTGTCTGCTCCCTCCCTATGTAGTCTGGGGACCTAGGCTCAGTTCCACTGGAGTCACCCCAGTGCACTTTCCCTGTGCAGGTTTCTAGAGCAGAGAATCCCATCAAGGGAGGCACAGAGATGGAAGGATCATCAGAACCCAGGGATGGTCTGGAAAAATACCAGTTCTAAAACTACTGCTTTGATTTTTTTTTTTTTTAATCATGATGATTGATTTTTGAAATAAAAGGTTTGGGGTTTTTATGTTTATTAAAAAGAACGTAGGGCTTTCTGGTTTCCAATTTTTACTATTATTTAAACATGTGCAGTGTATAAGCTTGTCTGCGGTCTCTCTCTTCCATACGCACAAGTCGCTTAAGGGCAGATGTCTGAGTGTGGAACTCCTGCTCCTTATGTCATGGTAACGGTTGCGTTGTCTTTGTTGCTATTACTAAAAGTTTTGCCATTTGTTGGCCACTTACTATTTGTCTGGCGTTGTCTGAACAGTTCAGTTGCGTTATCTTATTTGATCTGCGCAACTCTCCCATAAGACAGATACTGTCATTATCCCACTTTACAGAAAGGTACACTGAGGCTTCTGGCCATCAAGCAAGTTGCCCAAAGCCACAGAAATGTAGATTTTTAAAGATTAGAAACATTTAAATGATGACTAAAGACAAGGTGTCATGACTATTATCAACTCATAAAGCAACTACTTCATCCTCTCAGGAGTCACCGTTTGGGAGTTGATGACCTTTGGGTCCAAGCCTTATGACGGTATCCCCGCAAGTGAGATCTCAACCATCTTGGAGAAAGGAGAGCGCCTCCCACAGCCGCCCATATGCACCATCGATGTCTACATGATCATGGTCAAGTGTGAGTGACTGCCGTGCCCATCCACGCTGGCTTTCCCGGGTGTTGGCACTCAGAGTGCCTTGTTGGGCCTAGAAAGGTGTTCCAGCCCTTAGCCAAAAGATTGAGACCTTTGATTCCCAGAAAAAAAAAAAACATGGTCACGTTCTTTACAGCAGGCACCGAAGTCCAGAAGCGTCTGTAAATACCCTCTCCCAACATTCTTCAGGAAGCGTTTGCTTGACCCGTTGAGCGCGGTGACCTGGCATGTGCCCATGTTTGCAAGCAAATAAATAAAATCAAATTCCTCCAGAAACCATTACACCAAAATATTCTCTTCCCTAAGTTGCTTGATGAAAACGGCGCTGCACGTTTTGAAGCCTGTTACCAGAGAGACCGAATGTTTTTAAATACCTAACAATGAGTAAGCACATGAGGCTGATAGAATCAACATTTCTGCCTTGACTTAAGCCTCTCAAATGGTAGATCTACGTGAGGTCTTTTGCAGCGTAGCAAGTAAACATTTTAATCTAAATAAGAGTGTGTAACTTGGTCAATGCTATCATTGCATCAGAAGCACAAGTTCAGCAGGCTCTGAAGATAACCTTCCACGTGTCATGAGCACTTACACAAGAAGGTAGCACAGGGAATATGACGGGGCCAAGTTGATGTAAATACTAATGCCTTTCTGAACTTTAGACCACAGAGTTAACCTACTCTAACTTCCTTGCTTTGGACTGAGGAAGCTGGGATCCAGAGAAGTTACATGATTCGTCTGAGGTCACATAGCATAGCAGTCTGTCCTAAAATAACTTGACAGCCTGCCGATAAAAAATAAATGTGAACCCTCAAGAGAGACAAGGATTTCCAGCTGATCGCTGTTCCTCCAGCTTGTTTAATCCAGGTTTAGGTCATTGTGTAATCACATGGGCTGGCGAGGTTCACCAGTGTCCTAGGGAAGGCCCTGGAACACCCCCTCCACCTGCGTGCTTGGTGACTGAGGATGTAAGACAATGAAAGCATCAGGGTGTGGAGTGCCCAAACCCCGAGGCTCTTAAAGAAAGTCCCTAACTTTCCCTAAATTGAATCTAGTTTTCAGCTTGCAAGACTGCTAAGCGAATATAGATGAAAGTAGATGTCCAGTGAGGACTTGGCCAGAGAGCCCGGACGCCGGGGCTCCCTACAGTCTTAGCAGTTCACAAAGAGCGATGTATCCAAGGCTGCTGGATCGCCTAAGGTGATAATAGCAGAACTCTGGCCCCAGGAAGAGTAGGCATAGAAAATCAGAGGACGGTGCTGTCATTCCGATTCAAGTGTTTTATGTCTTCATGGTCTTTAAACTGTGATCAGCAATCAGCGATCAGCGCTAGTTTGCCAAGACTAAAGAGCCTATCGCAAAGATTCGGTTTCTGCATCACTTCCTTGCCTAAAAGCATCTCACCATAAATGCTCTCTGGAAGCAATGCCATCTTTATCATTTCTTTCAGGGTCTAATTGTACTGTTTTCCTCATTCCTTCCCCAGGCTGGATGATAGATGCAGACAGTCGCCCAAAATTCCGTGAATTGATCATCGAATTCTCCAAAATGGCCCGAGACCCCCAGCGCTACCTTGTCATCCAGGTACCAGATCACAGTGTCTGAGCTTCCACTGGGAGAAGTCCCTCTGATGAGCGTCCAGTATCCCCGTGTTCCACTGTGTGCCAGTGCCATGTCCCTGTCTCCCAGGTCCCATCCTTAAATCCTCAGCGCCTTCGAGCAAGCCTTGGTTAAGGCACGGGCCACACTGTGACCTAAAGTGTTCTTTTGTAGGGCCCCCCCGACTCCATTGGCCGTTCTCGTCTGAACTCTAGCATCCAGACATACTCAGTGCCGTGTGTCATCTTCATATTTCGGTTAGCCAGAGCCTTTGCTCCATCAGATGGAGAAGCAGGGCTTTGGTGGCAGCAAATCTCACTCCAAATCCCTGAGTCTCCGCTTAGCACTTTAGGTTAAGAAAACCAAACCCACAGGGCTGTTTTAATTCAGTCAGTGAAATCATGTATGCAAAATAATTTGCATGGCACCTGAAGATTCTGCTTAGCAATACTGGCGCGTGTGTGTTGGGGGGTGGGGAGAAGGGGGTTTCCACGTACCTCCCAGCAAGCAGTTCCCTGACACCAGCTAGGTGGCTCTCCCCAAATCTCCATGTGTTCACCAACCCGGAAGCTCTCCGAACCCAGTCCTTGTGGGGCTTTATGGAGCCTTCAGTAAATAGGTGTTATTGATTAAATTAGTGGCGAAATGGTGATTGACCACCTGCAGCCCCTCCGCCATTCCAGGACATCAGGGAGGGTGATGGACTGGAAGTTCCAATCCCCTCATCTCTGGTTGGTCCCCCCCCACCACCACCACCATCCCCCACCCGTCATTGTGGGCCTAAAGCCCCTTGTCAAAATAACAAAAGACATCTTTGCCACTCTCACCACTTAGGAGATTCCTAGGGTTTAAGAGGTCTATGCCAGGAATAGGGACAAATGTCTTATTATAAGTTATAAGATCGCAGCACCTAACAGCATAATACACACTCGACAAATGCTGCTCCTTCATCCCTTTCTTCTTCCTCTTAAGCTGTTTCTGTTTCATTAAGGAGCTTTTAAACATCAAAGAATTTTTAATGTTTTAATGTCAGGTCCAGGGGGGAAGGAACCAGGATGATTGTATTATAACCAAACTGCCAAACAAAGAGGCATCTGCCAAAAACGTGGCATAGCATCTCTCTGGGTCTTCCTAATTGTCTCAAAATCTCTGCACCAGGGAGACGAGAGGATGCATTTGCCAAGCCCTACAGACTCCAACTTTTACCGTGCCCTGATGGACGAAGAGGACATGGAAGACGTTGTCGATGCCGATGAGTACCTCATCCCCCAGCAGGGCTTCTTCCATAGCCCCTCCACATCCCGGACGCCCCTCCTGAGTTCTCTGGTACGAAATGTCGCTCCTTCTCAAGCGCTGGGTCTGCTGCTTTGAATGAATTGTTCAGAGACAGTGATACCCGTCTAGTAGAGCTCACGTAGAGGCAGAGAAGTCGATTTTAACCAAATGGTCAAGCCAAAGTCAGAGTGAATCAGTCAGGTGTGTTAGTTCTTTTATGGCATTGCAAAAACTGGACCATAACCTTTTTAGGTCTACTAGGGGCCAGAATTAGGTCAGAACTAACCTAGTTTTTCTAAAGCTAATGGGTCAAGACAAAGTGAAGCGCCTGTAATTATATCCACTCCATGAGACCCCACCTCCTGCGTTCAGGGGGCGTGGGTGAGAATATGCACGCGTACCCTCAACAACTTCGATTCTTTTCCAGAGTGCCACCAGCAACAATTCCACCGTGGCTTGCATTGACAGAAATGGGGTACGTATGAACACCTCATAAACCCGAATTAAATAACAGCTCCGTATCACGGCTCTACCGCACATAGAAGATGCCCATCTTACCCCAACTAACCTTGATTTTCCTTCCTGAATTTCCTTCCTTCCTTCCTTCCTTCCTTCCTTCCTTCCTTCCTTCCTTCCTTCCTTCCTTCCTACCTTCCTTCTCCATATGGTTTCCCTGACCCCTACCCTAAGGCCAGCAGTTAGCTCTCACTGATTGCAAGGCTGTTCAAAATGGGGTTTGTGGACCTACAACAGCATCACCTGGCAGTTTGTTAGAAATGCAAATGGTCGAGCCGCCGACCCAGACCTACGGAAGTAGGAATGCGAGGGGCAGAGCCCGGCCATCCGTGTTGGAGCCAGCCTTCCAGGTGATGCTGATGCTTGGTACGAAGCCTCGATCTAGACCTATACTTACCAGTATAGAAGCCGATAGCCACACGCGTCTACTTCAGTGTAAACTGGTGACCATCTTGGAGGGCACAGATCATAGAACATTTCTGTCATTGCCAAAAGCCCTGCTGCACGGCACTGACCAGGTCCTTGCCACTCGCCCTGTGGTCTGTGGGCCCCCAGCATGGGCAGCACCCGGGGGCTTGTGGGAAATGCAGAATCTCAGGCGCTTTCTTGGACCCTACTGAATCAGAATCTGCAGTTTCACAAAATCTCAGGTGATCTTCATACGCTTTGAAGTCTGAGCAGCACTGACTGGGGTAACCTTGCCTTATTTCCTCCCTTCAGAGCTGCCCCCTCAAAGAAGACAGCTTCCTTCAACGGTACAGCTCAGACCCCACTGGCACCTTGACCGAGGACAACATAGATGACACTTTCCTCCCAGCACCTGGTGAGTGGCTTACCCTGGACAAGGTCGCACTCCTCGGCCTCCCCATCCAGCAGGGCTGGCCTCCATCCCCTGGTGCCCAGGCTGCTTGCTTCCTTCGAGCCAATCCAGAAGTGGACACTGTGGCAAGTTTGCAGACACGAAGTAAGGAGTAAGAGGCAGAGAAATACAAAACAGCTGAGCATGTGTGCGGGTCTGTGTGTTGAACTCAAGTCATGTCCAGCCAGGAGGTGTGTTTTTAGGATCAGTTTGCAGATTTTCTAGAATTTGAAGCAAACATCGAAGACTTGGGCATGTGTGTGCAAGCGCGCGCGCGTGTGTGTGTGTGGGAGAGAGAGTGTGAGCAAGCGTGTGTGCATATGATTGTGTGTGTGAGCGTGTGTGGATGAGTGTGTCTGTGTGCACGCATGCATGTGACAAACTCGATCCTGGCTCCATTCTTAGCCAATGAAACATGTATTTTCCTAATCTCAGCTTTATCCCCAGATGTTCTTGTGTGCACACATACATCTTAAGGCAGTCTGTCCTTTTGAGAACTTTAAATTGGCAGGAGGTAAATGTGCCCACCGCTTTCAGAATTACAGAAAAGAACGTAGTTTATATTGCAGCAACAGCAAGATAGTCGTCTTGCCAGACGCCCCTACCCTCAGTTGCCTTGTGGAAGAGGATCGACAGGGTTCAGATGTACAGATGGAAAATCCTGCTGGGGTTAAGGCTTTGCTGATTACCTCACTTGTGATTTCTTTTCCGTTTCAGAATACATAAACCAATCCGTTCCCAAAAGACCTGCGGGTTCTGTCCAGAACCCCGTCTATCACAATCAGCCTCTAAATCCAGCTCCTGGCAGAGACCCTCACTACCAAAATCCCCACAGCAACGCAGTGGACAACCCTGAGTACCTCAACACCCACCCTCCCTGCGTCAACAGTGTGCTCGACGGCCCCAGCCTCTGGGCCCAGAAAGGCAACCACCAAATCAGCCTGGACAACCCTGACTACCAGCAGGACTTCTTTCCCAACGAAGCCAAGTCAAATGGCATTTTTAAGGGCCCTGCAGCTGAAAATGCAGACTACCTGAGGGTAGCACCACCAAGCAGTGAGTTTATCGGAGCATGACCATGGAGGATAGCATAGGACATAAGAGTCTCAGATGTGTCACCCCCCCTGGGACCAAGCCACGGCAGCTACGTTAGCGCTGGTAGTCATGCCCATGTTAACTCTCGGACCCGTGGACTGGTTTGGCCATATTTGCTCTGATGGACCCATCCTTCACCCAGGAAGCGCCCCCTCCTCGGATGCACTTTGGAAAGTTGCTGGGACATTCCTTTGTCTTCAAACTGTGAGGCCTCCACAAAAAGGCATGCAGCAAGAATATTGTCTCTTTGGGCAGAAGTTCACCTTTCCATGAGGTATATTTGATACAAAACAAAACAAAACTGCATAAGGAGTTTTATTGCTTGGGGACCCTGGGAGTTTTTAATTGTCATTATTGATTTTATTTCTCATGGGCTTTTCCAATGAGGAAGAAGCTTGCTCATAGCACTTGCTGCACGGAGTTGATCCAGGCCCAACTGTGACCAAGAAGCAAGGGTCAGAGTCTTCCAGCTAACATTTGATTCCACTGACTCTGCTTCAAGATTCTTCCACTGCAAGACAATTAAAAAAAAAAAAAAAAAAAAAAAAAACTAGAAGTACTCTGTGTCCTAAGCAGGACTGATTGGTACTGTAGCAAATCAGAGCAGGTACAAGAGGATAAGCCACTTTGAACCCTTCCTGAGCGCAAAAGAAATGGAGGGGGTAGAATTCTTCTTCAGACTTCTTTTTATATAAATTTCTTCATGGTACTTACTCTCCATCGGTTGACCAGTGTTTTCTAGTTAGAAGTATTGGACTTACTTGTTTATTTTCCATTCCACTGTTTTGAAACTCAGTATGCTTTCCCTGTCGGTGAGAGGAGACGGTACATCAAACCGTAACCTGGACCGGCTCGTATTTGATCAGCATTCAGACCAATAGCCTTTAATCAAGATGGAACGATAATGCAAAAGTTCACACAAGAACATGGCTCCCAGATTTGAGTCTCAGAGAAAATACATCAAGTCCTTTGGGGGTTGGGGATTGGGCATATATCAGGACACTGCAGAAATGAGGAGAAGCTGCTCCTAAAACTCCCACCCCGCCCCTTACTACCAAATTAGGCTACTTATGGGAGAACATTTCCTTTTTATTTTACTTTAGAAGTTTTTTACTCAAAGGGTACTTATTTCCCCCCTCTCTGGTAAGCTGCCCCCAAAGCCCCTCCTCACCCTTTGTGAATGAAAGGATCCAGGCTTTGGGGCCACCAAGCAGAAACTGACAGCCCTCACCCCTGGGGGCACATTTTACAGGGGAAAGTAAAAACACTATGCGTCGGGGAATTAAAGTGGTAAATATGAAATCGGAGTTTGAAATCGATGATAATGCCTTAACAACATCCACAGGTAATTTTTCGAAAAAAAAAAAAATTCCCTCTTAAGACAATTGCCCTATCATTGGAGGATCCAGTTAATTTAGGACACCCAAGTGTTTTTCCACCTCGTGGGTCCTCGCAGCCTGATCGGTTCATGGCAGTCCTTTGTACAGAGGTGTTAAACACTCTTAGTCCATATCCAGTGTTTCAAGGAAAAATCGTGTCAGACAGTATTTTCGGCCTACGGATGTGTTCAGCCACACACACGTATGAGATTTCCCTTCTGTTGTTACAGTATTTATTGGTTCTCAGATCAGGGCCCCAGTTTTGTTACCAATAGATTGACTTTGTCCCAATGGAGATATGAACTCTATTCAATTCAATTCCACTATGTTTTCAGATACTCTTAAGCACCTATGCCAGCCCAGCATAGGCTCTAAAGATATTAAAATAAATAAAACATAATCCCCAATTCCAAGAAACCCACAGTTTAGCAAAGGGAATTGACTTGACTCATAAACAGAAACCTTAAAACAATAGGACAGATGCTAGGCAAAGACAGGTCAGCCAAGCATGGACCGCACAGGGCAGAGAAGAGTGGGTCCTGCCTAGGGGGACCTGGAAGGCTCATCAGGGAGGGAGTGGTAGAGTTGGGCCAAACCAACTAGGGTCTTAGCCACAAGGGAAATGGAAGTGTGTTCCCAACACATGAAACCTCGACCAAGAAAGCTTCCGCCGGAGGAACTGCTAATAAAGTGGGAGAAAAGCTGCATTCGTGCATCTTAACAAGCTGTCCCTTTAAGCCTGGGATCTAGCTTGCAGCGTCCCCCCCAGTGCCCAAAATGTGGCGTCCTCACTCAGGATCTGAAAATGATTAGTGAAAAGATTAAATATTTCTAAGACTCTAAAATTTTATGCCATTGTCAGCAAACCACTTTCATTATTTATTCACCTCAGAACATAAATATTTTCATCAGAAGTTTATTTGGCCCTGGGAAACAGACTGATGCACATTTTGTTACCACTTATTCATCAAGAAGCAAGTGATTGGTGAGGGAGAGCAACTGTATGTCAGTCCAACTGTAGCAGTTAAATCCTAGTATTTTTGTAATTTGCAATATTTTACTATAACATAATAAAACAGCGAAAACTATTCAAGCTTTTTCTCCTTTGTATTTCAGTTTTCCTGCATAGAATCTAGTTGCTAAATTCCCTAGATTTTAAAACTGTGTTTCCCACAATGTCCTCACCATGGCTGGCTGTCCAGGGAGGTGCAGAGGGGGCTTGGAGATGCTTCAGAGCCTGAGGCAGCAGAGCCCAAGTCAGGGACCCCCACCATCACTATGGGCAGACGAGGAGAGGGGCCACCCAGGGCACCGGTGTTTTCCATCTCATGGCCCAGCTTGGCCAGAGTTCAAAGCTTACACTCCATCTCTTCCATGCCTCCATGTTGACACTGGTCCTAAGACCCTCCAGAGAGCCTGTTCCTTCCTCAGTCGGTTCCTGGCTACTTTTCCCGTGGCCCCACCTCAGATCTGGCCTTTGGAAACAGTTCAGGGGAAAGTAAGCGCCGGAAGCTAACACTTAGAGTGGGCACACATCTCGTATAAACTCTTAAGGAGTCCCTGCAGTCGTACTCTACGAGTAACATTCCGTCACCTCATGAAGTAAAAAAGGTGAATCTTCCAAATTCTAGATGTGCTGAGTCCCAGTTGTCACTGATTTTATTTTAACGAGGAGCACTGTGGGGGCATCAGATTGCATTCCAAATGATAACAAGTCTTAGATATTTGTTGGGAGTTCTTAATTTGGGGCTCTAGCCCACACACCGCCCCCCCCAAACTGCAGATATAAATGAACTGGTTCTCAAGCTTGGCTGCTCTCGGGGATCTCCCGAGGTCTGACCTCAAAGATTCTGATTTAATTTGCCTCAGGTGCAGCCTGGGCCCAGGGGCTTTTCAGAACTTGCACAGGTTATTCTGAAGAGCACCGAAGTTTTTGGAACCACTGGTGAAAAGGAAAGGCCAATGGGGTGGGGCGGTTGGGGGGAGACCTGTCCCTCGGCTGATGGCATCCTGCTCACCTGTTGCACTCAGCAGGCCTCGGGTTACGCAAGCAGAGGCGAGCCTGTTGGGTTACGGTGACTCGCCCTTCTCATCCTGGCTGCCAACCTTAAAAAGAAGGGGCAGGGTCCCCTCAGACCGATAACAATCAGACTCTCAGGGGCTCCCCATGTGATCCTAGTGGGCAAGCAGAGTTGAAACCCTCATCTCTAAGGTGACCTGCAGGTGTCTGTAGCATGCCCCCCAGTCCGGGCAGAATAGAGAAGCCTGGGTCGGGTAAAGGTTCCAGAAGGAGGCGGCGGACAGAACAAGGTGCAGTCCTTAATAATCCTGAGACTTGGCTACTAGTGACTATTTCAAGCCAGCAGCTTATCCTGTAAGTGGCAAATACCCAAACCTGAGCCTTGATAGGGCCCTGAAACAGTTGGCATTTTCTAAGAAGTTAGAAAAACTGGTCTCTTCTGCAGTGAATGAGGTGCTCGCTCAAGTGACCGCTGGTGAAATTGCCCTTAACGTCTACTTTGCATTTCTTTCTTTTGATAAGTGCACCTTCTTATTACAACATAATGATCTGTTTGTATTTCCTTGCCTAGGGCTGTAAAACTTTACTGAAGAGAAACCCATGCCTTCCTTACCAGCCACACCTGCCATGTCAGGGGCATACATTTTTGTACTATGACACATTCAGATAGGATTTTTAAATGGTAACCTATTTTTGTAACTTTTTTGAGGACTCTTATCCTCCCATGTAGCACTGAGCTTTGTTAAACAGCTTAACAATAACCCACAACCCTCGGACCAACTAGCACTGAGCTTTGTAAGGTATGTTTTTAGGAAAACTCATTTTTCTACTAAAGGTTAGAACGACCAATAGAATCAAAATTCAAAACTGAAATCTTTGTTTAAAGGGATTTAATCGAAGCAAGGGAAGTCCGTCTGTCTTACAAAAAGGCACAACCTCATTGCAGAGCTAAGCTAGGTCATCGTCCTAATAAGAGACTAATACTTTTTATATTTGTAAAAATGAGAAAAGGTAAAAAGCGCATGCGGCTCCGTCTTGCTCTGAAGCAGGTTCTGTCAAGTCTGCAGCAATGTTGGAGGGAAAGAATGACTTACTGCTCACACAGATCCATATGCCACAAGATGATCCTGTCAGTGTAAAAAAAAAAAAAAAAAAAAAGGCAATAATATAGCACTTTGCTGGCTTATATATACTAATCTGACTTTGATACAAATGATTTTATTTTTATATTTACAGTTGATATGCATTTACCAATAGACTAGAAACACCTGCAGAACCCTAATAAAGGTCAGCATGTTTTGGTAACTTGGTAACTCAGAACATTGATGAAGTCCACATTTCCAGCCCCCTGTCCCAGAAAGGGTGTTCTCAGCCCTGACGGCACAGTGAAATCCGCTGGGGAGCTTCTGAAACCAGTGAGGCCCCGCTGCACCTCAGACTAATTAAATACACATCTTCACGGGTGAAATCCAGGCACTGGTGCTTTTGAAAGCTCCTAAAGGTCATTCTGATGTACAGCCATGGCTGAGAACCACCGGCCTAGGGTGCCTGGGCTTGCGGGCAAATTCTGCTGGTGTAGGTACCTCGGGGTTGGCTCCCAGGAGGGGAGATCTCACTCAGCGCGCGTTGCTAGGGGGCAGGAACGTGCATGGATGGAGGGTCCCTGATAGGCTGCCCAAGCACTGCATGGGGGCGGGGGGGGGAAGGTCTAACCAACCGATGAAAAGGGAAAGCGATACAGAACAGATTCTTTTTTCCATTTCCTCTATCAAAGGTGGACCGGTAGTAAAATAAAGATGGCAAGCATTCTTGTTGCCTGTGCACAGGGCATGGTGCCCTGCCCATGGTCACCGGGTGACCTTTCTTTCTCAGGGCGGGAGAAAACCCTGACATAGCAGAGGCATTACAAGGGGAAGACACTAAAAAATTGTGTGGGTAGTTGGATGGCTTTTATAAAAACAGGAGTCCAAGAATTCTTGCTTTAAGAAACTTTTCTATTTTTTCTCATGATTGTATCTGGGAAAATACCTTAAGCGATTTGTACTGTTTTCCATGTTTAACTGTACAATCACGGCGTGTCCTCTGAGGTCGCAGGTCTGTCCTGTCTGATTTGCCCACAGAAGTGCCACAAAACCCCACCTTTCACCTGGCAGATAAAACTGCAAGGAAAAGCATAAGTACATATATTTTTAGGTGCATTGATTATTTTTTCAACCCTTTTGACCTGATTTGGCTACAAAATAATCCTACAGTGTAACGCCATCTCTGGGAAATGAGGTAGATCCTACAGATCTGATGCCTGATAATCAGAGGTGACCATGTAAACTGGTTAACAACGGACAGCAATAACTTCACTTTTGAAAGGAGCAAGAGCTTGATCGCTTCTATATATGGTACGTCTTAACATTGTAAAGTTTTGCTGTGATGAAAGCAATATTTGTACAAATGAAAAACAAGATTCTCTTTTCTGTGGTTTACAGTATTGATCAGAACATGTTGATTGTATATTGAGTATAAAAAAATTAGATGTATACTATTCATTGCTCTTTACTTATGAGTACCTTATAAATAATAACATTGTATCCTTTGTTAACAATGCAGCGTTGACAGTAGTTATTAATCATATCTGACCTACTGTAGATGTTCTTCCTGGTAACTTTTTAAAATTAATTAATAAACTTTATTTTTAGAGCAGTTGTAACTTCAAAACCTGAACAATGGAGCAGAAAGTACAGACAGTTCCCATATCCTCCCTGCCCCCCCCCCCCCGCCGCCCCTCCAGCCTCGCCCACTATTGTGTCCACACCCAAGTGGCTTGGTAACTTTTTTTTTTTAAGATTTTATTTATCTTTTGTTTGACAGAGAACGAGAGAGTGAGAGAATGAGTGGGGGGGGCGGGCAGAGGGAGAAGCAGGCTCCCCTCTGAGCAGGGAGCCCGATGCAGGGACTCGATCCTAGGACCCTGGGACCCTGGGATCATGACGTGAGCCGAGCCAAAGGCAGACGCTTAACGACTGAGCCACCCAGGCGCCCTCCTGGTAACTTTTTAATGTTTGGAGGTTTCTTGTGTGTGACTGGGACGCTCCTCGGTGCCATGCTTTGCAGCCACGTGCATCGGGACCCGGGTCTGCAGACGCTGCACACCGGCTCCTAGGCCTTCTCCTCCCCTGGCTTCCTTCATCGCGGAGAGAAGCACAGAGCCAAGAGGGAGGATGTTTCTATGGCAGGCGCCAAAGCAAACAGCAGTTTTGCTGAGATTCTGCTAAATCACAAATGCTAGAAACCTGAGGAATGAAGAAGCACACCCTCGTGTTCACACCTGCTGCCTACAATCTGCTTATAATCTGGGGACTTGCCCACTCCGTGAGGCCGTCATGGGGTGGGAATGCCAATAGCCTAGGCTTCGTGTGAGCCAGGAAAGTAACCACCAGCCCCGAAGGAAATTGTTCCGTGAAGGTTGTGCTAAACGTTCTATAAAAACCCGGCCCTCCGGTGAAGTACTTGAATAGGTAAGTGAATAAGCAGTCTTCTTATCCGTGATAACCAGAGTCAGGGTCAGGGGATGTAAACCCATCTCAACCACTGAGCAAAAGCAAGCTTACTGATGCAGCAGGTGACGCCACCGAGGAGGAGAGGTCAGCGTCTGGAAACCAAGGACCAGAAGCGGAGCAGCTGGGCGGTGCGAATGCACAGGGCAGGAAGAGGTGGGCGTGCAAGTTTGAAGCTGGCTTCAGAGAGTGAAACTTGCACCTGGAGTCCACTCCCCTGGCCTGGAATAGTCCACAGGGCTTTAGGTTTCTTTGGCTTCCAGTGCTCTGACCCCAGAGAATAAAGCGGCCCCCCCCCTCCACCCCCGCCACTGCTCTCCCCGGGGCCAGCTGGTCACCACACAATGCTCCACCTTGTTTCTGGTACACCGGAGAACTGAGAGCAGAACTTCAGGCTAATGAGGTCCTTGAAGGACAAGCCAATCAGGAAGTTCTCAGTGTCCCCCCGTTGGACCCCCAGGCTTTCCTGGCTTCCTGGCCTCCTGAACCTCCACACCCTGGCACGGTCAGG